TGAAATGTAAGTCGTATTCGATTGAGCGAAACATTTATGAATCATAACCGCTTAGAGATTTTATACCTGAAATTGATATATTCGTCTTTCCTGGAGTCGAAAATTTTAAACCAAACATCTTCCGCATACCTATCCGATCCAAATAACTTAAAGAACTATTCAAAAGAAAATTCCCGCCATTTTGTGCAGCGACTTTATTCGTAAAAAGAAACAATAAAAAACTAATTTTTATGTGAAACATATCATGATGTCTGGAGAGAGGACATCATCGGTTTCAGTAGGCTATAGACACTTTTCGATTTCGTAAATTCACAATTTGGTCTACTAACAGCAAAATGTACGCAAAGGGTATAGTCTCCTTTTTAAGTGAAGATAATTATACAGTTAAAAGTTTTCTGAACACCCTAAACAAAAATCTGAGTAAGTTTGATATGTGGTTTGTCATCTTTTACACTGCTGAACTAAACAATCAGTTTCTAATCTAACGAAATATATAATAATAAGCAACATTCGGCTGTCACAGATTCCTAGCACTTTTACGTTATATCTCATTTCCTTGGCAATCTGAGTAGCCTTCCCAGCTTCAAACGTTGTGAGGACATTCCCCATGTCCCATGCTTACTTCGTCTATCATCGAAAGGAGATACATAGGCTTAATGGCTTTTTGATGACCTTCACCAGCCTGCATCATTACCTTTCTGTGATCCCAAAGAAGAATAAGAAGTTTACTTTTTATACTTTTTCTGTGTTGAGTTTTCAGCAGAGATTAGGTTGATTTTCTCGAGTAGGTTCGTGAGACCCACGCCCAACCTTTTCTATATCTCCCGGCTTAGAACCGGCTAGTAAACTAGGTGAGGAGATGGATCGGACACACGCTGAAGACACCATTGAGAGATATCATGATCCAGGCCAGCCCTCGATTGGAACCCAAATGAGAAACGAGTTGAACGTTCAAGGGTGACATGAGGAAGATCGTGTATGAAGGGGACAACAGCTTATGTGAGACCGTAGAGCCAGTTAGATAAGACTGCAGAGGACAAGATGAAATGTAGATATGCCGTCCACTCTCCATATTCCGTTCGGAACGTTACGTTAGACAGAACAACGCAGTAATTCATGTTAAGAATGGACATCGCGTCAGATTTAGTGAATTTTTACCGCCTGAGATGTCGCTGTTCAGGCAGCAGCACGGCAGTATCATTAGCTCTCAAGCACAACACGTGTGGTCCATTACCGATTGCATGGGGATGCAAGTGGTAGTTGAACAATATTCTTCTTTTTCTTCAACTGATAAATTCAGACATATTGTGCAGAGAATTTCTAGGGGACACAACTAAATTGAAATTCTGTTTGTTAGCCATTCAAAGGGGAATTCACTAAACTCACCCAGTATATATTAGACTTGACAATATTCTCTGGATCTTGCAACAGACTGCCTGATTGAGAACGGAAAAATGCTGAAAATATAACTCGATGAAGGATACGAATAATTTCTGTGCATAACACTTCATTCTGTACTATATCACATGGTAAAAGAACAGCTTGTTCTGCGATCTAGAAATTGAAAAAATAAAATAAAACGGGAAACGTAGAAAGACAAGAGGAGAAGAAATAAACATGTCTGAAAATATACAAATGAAGGCAAACAAGGAATTCATAAACAGCAATCCAACCTGTACACGGAGTAATCCATACTAGATAAATAAGGTAAGATGGTGGCACATGATACATGACTGATTTTTTTATTTCGTTCACGTTCCCCAGTGGAACATAGGGCTTCAAGCTAGTGGCTTGAAGTTTCTGTAGCAGTGCTTATTTTACACGATTGGGTTGCTAGCCTCATGCCCAACCTTTCCTCTTTACCAGCATTATTTCTGGCTTAGCGAGGTAAAGGAGTGCGTCGGCCGGGGATCGAACCCCGGACCATGTGCATGGTCGGCGAGCGTCCTAACCACTATGTCACCGACGCACATACATGACTGATGCCTTCCACTAATTTTTATTGACCGACTTATAAGTTTACGAAGTAATAAATATATAAGCACGAAGATGTAATTGGCGATGAGCCAGGCTTGTCGTGTGAAAACTAATGGTACTTATTACGTAGCTTCCCAAACCTAGGTCAGTGGACAAGGGATTGTAACCCATGAGTCAACGACTAAAACTCAAGCGCCTAGAGCAATTAGCCATGCGTCAGTGGCTCAGTGGTAGAATGTTCGCTAGCCACGTCCATGGTTCATGGTTTGATTTCCAACTGATGCATTCCAAAGGGGGAAGGTTCAGTGTGTGAGAGTAGCAACCTCACCCTTCACCCACCCGACCGAAAGCTGTTACCTTGACGTGGTGGTCGGGCTTGAACACTGCAATGACCCAACAAGCTATACTGGCTGGAACTTATGTTCCTGCAGGTCCTACCATGACAGAAAGGTTGCTTGGATAGCAGTTAGACTAAAAGCAGTTACCCAATCCAATCCTATGATTTCAAATAAATCACAAAATATCATGCCGGATCGGTCGGGGCCCGGATTAACAACGACCGCGCTCTCTGCTGCCGTGTCACAGGGCAGAAGTGATAAATACGCTACTGAGACACACCAAATAAAAAAGAACAAACAAAAACAGGCCGTGTGTGACCGGCCTCAAGCAGTTGTCCCCTGGGCTCTGCGGTCACGCAACCAACTTCCACGGTGTGGGCAGCCGGGAAGTACCAATCGCCCTCACAATCCGAAGTGCACGCGAAACCCCTCTAATCCTCGCTCATCTTTGTCTTCATCTTCATCTCTATTATCTTGCCTTCCTTCTACCAATGCAACTCCTCTACTTGTTGGCTCTTCACTTCCCCTTCACTCTGTGTGCACTGATAACGATGGAAGCCAAAAAGCCACCACCGATTGTCTCCTAAAACCACGCCAACAAATTGTGTCAATCTGAGAAGAATGTTGGTGGCACATACGGAATTCCGTGCCAGCGAACCGACAACGGTGACCGTCTCCTACAGTTCTGTTCAGATAATCATTTGTATCTTGTAAGCACTAACTTCAAACACAAGGAGAGACACTGTTTGACCTGGCGACCCCCATCATCAAATCAACGCTGGACACAAATAGACC